GCCTTGATCAGCCTGCCAATGGAATGCAGGCCCAAGACACACGAGAACAAAGGCAGGCGCAAAGGAATGAAACGCCCCTTTTGCATGTGTCGTATCCCCATATGATCCGTCATCCATCCATCCACAGACATGACATGCGTCCATGTCTGTGTGCGTACCGGTTTCGCTTTCGTCTGAACTGGGGGTAAGGGCCGCCCCATATGTAAGGGGGCAGACCTGCTCACACACGATAAAGAAAGTGAGCAGCACGTGCGCCTGTGTCTGTCTGGCTGAATGGGTGGGTGGGTGAGTGGGGAACTGACTGACTGACTGACTGACCAGCCTCGACCCTCTGGTGCATGTATCTGCGCTTGATGTTGGACAGACGGCGACGGATCTTCGGCTCCACCGAGCGGATACCTGGCCAGTCGACCCGCCACGCACATATGCTCGGTTGTGTGACACCTCCATTGGCTGTTCCGATGCACGGGCCTGAGTCGCCCCAGCCACCCACCTGGTTTGTGTACGCCCTGCTTCATGGTGAACTTGCCACGAACGTTGTACTGCCACTTGTACCTGCACCAAACGTGTGCATCCGTCCATTTGCTCCACGCATTCCTTCAAGACAACACCCCCGGCTGTCTGACCTGTAGTCTCTTGTGAGCGGCTCCTTTTGCGCTGTCTGTGGGTTGGGGATGGCCTTGAGCACCCGCACGTCGAGGAGCCGAGGGCTGTAGCGAGGGACCAGCTGCTCCACACCCATTCCCTCATAGACGTTCTTCAGGGTAAAGGAAGAGTCCGAACGCTTCAGCCGAACCTCCACGCAATAGCCTGCATGCATATATGCATCCATCCATTCAGTCAGTCTGTCGGGACCTGCCTGCATACGTTGGAAAACAGCGAAGGTCTGCTGTGTAAACCAGTGTGTGTGTGGGCGGCTCACGGGGTCAGGTGAGGACAGGAAATTTTCTCATTGACGGTATCTTGGTCCATAGTAAGCCCGTACCCCAGACTAGTCTAAGTTTGTGTCTATCAGGTCTCTGTGGGCCTGCAGACACTCGACAAGGGTAACTCTACAGTCAGAAACGTGAAAATCCCGCCAGCGTCGGTGCTGTGTGTGTGAGGGTGCTGCTGACCTCTCCTTTGGCACCTGTGTAGCCCATGAGCTGATGCACTCGACCCATGTACTGGATGGACCGGGCAACATCCACAGAGCCAAACACGGGCCTGCGGAGATGGACAAAAATGGGAGAGGGAGGGGTCAGAGAGAAGTTCCGCAGAGGCCAATTGGTCGGCGCATAGCAAAGCCGTCATCGAGAGCAATCCTCTGGCACCCGAATGAGCCTCGGGGTCTTGGCGCAACACGCCATCTCGACCTGCACACACGGACAGACACAGACACAGAGAGAGATGTCAGCTTACTTGTCCTTCTGGCTGCTCCTGACTGCGTGTATGGCCTTCCTGTGAGCCTCTCTGCGGAGATCTGTCGCGATTCCTGCGCGTGCCTTTCTCCCCAGCACTTCTAAGCTCGCAGGGTTTGGCACCCCACACCCTAAACCCTAATTATGCGTAGGGTTTGCGAATTTCGTGAATGCGCGTGTGCAGGAGTGCGCAGCAGACAGGCAGGCACCTTGCCACACACGGATGTGCGCAGGGGTGGGCTGTGTGTGCAGAGAGGGAGGGAGGGGGCGTGCACTGGGCATGCCCCTCTCTCTCTCTCTGTGTGTGTGTGTGTGTTTCCGTAGGGCAATGCCCAGACAACTTCTGCCGTGCCGGCCAACGCACGGGCAGGCAGATACGAAACACACACCACCTGAACGATAACCCTACTTACAAGCTCTAATTCCTACACACGAAATGTCATCCATCCATCCATCCGAGTGGATGCCATCACACGCAGAAGCAATAAACCACCGCCACTGACAATCGATACACAGCGCCAGCAGCACGCCAAACTGGCTGAAGGCGTAGGGCAGTTCCAGTATGCCCGCGCCGATAAAGGAAGGCGATGAAAGCATTCAGCTGCACGTCACGCCACGCACCCACACAGACAGACAGACAGACAGATAGACAGACAGATGGGGGAGGTCAGACAGACGTGTGTGCGTGTGTGGGGGGGGACCAGACAGCGACCCCTCTGCAAGTACCTACCGCCCATGTATCTATCGATCTACTTGGGCAAGTTGCCTTCGGTTAGCGGGTGGTAGGACGGCAGAGCTGTGATGGCCGTGATCTTGGGCTCCTTGTCAATCTACATATCGCCACACACGGACGGATGACAGACAAAGTCTTCTCGTCCGTCCTTGTGTCTATCTGTCTGTATACCTACCATGTAGACGCCCCATTTCTGTTTCTGTCGCCTTCTGCGCAGACGGTGGGCGCGGCGCCGCTGCTCATCCTGCATCCGAAAAACAAGACGAGACACGAATGAACAGAGAGAAAGTGACAGGGCACTGTGGCTGACTTACGAGCGAGTAGATGAGGGCGCGTCGATACATCTCGGCCTTGATCAGCCTGCC